ACAAGGGTTTGCTCAGATGCAGAATCTATGATAAAGTTGCACCTTTGGCCATCCTGCTTTCCTGTCATGTAGACACTATGTGTACTTGCCATTTTGCACTTAGCTGTTGGGACATTCACAATGGGGGTTTGTGGGCGTCCCTCAGCACCAACCACTACTGGTTCCCCAAGGCTGACTTATTGGTAGTGTTGCTCTCCACAGTTTCAACAACCTTTCTGGGTAGCAGCCTTTCCTGCTGTGGCATCTTCACTGTGTTGAAGTTGCCGGCATTGAGCTCTCTTGTGCCCAGGTTTGTTACAGTGCCAGCAAAGTCCCTCAAACCTCTCTGAAAGCTGACCTTTTCTGGCCTTGAATCCTGATGACTGTGCCAACCTTGGTATCTCTGTGCTGGACTTAACATAGGGTTCGAATTCAAGAGCTCTGGCCATTACATCCTGCATAGTAGAGGGATGTGCTTGCTTTACTTGTATCTTCAGTTGTGGACTGTCCAAAGCAACTACAAATTGATCTCACAGCAACAACGTGAGGACATCGGGAGGCACAATTGGGTAGGCCTTGTGTGCCATACTTTCCAAATCCTGTGCCAGCTCTTTCAGGCTCTCCCCTTTAGCATGAACTCTAGACATAAACCTAGCCCTGTAGACTTCGGACTGATTTCTAGAGCAGCTACCAGTGCTCTATAGTTGTGCCTGTCGTCTGTTGACAACTGTCCAAGTATTTCCAGTGGTTGTCCCTTCAGGCTCGTTGCCAAGTACGCTGCTTTATGCTCCTCTGCCCATCCATTCATTTCTTCCAGGAGCTCAAATTGTGTCTATGTGCTTCCCACTGTGCCTTCCCATCGAATTCCTCTGGCTTCCTTCGTACTAGATCACCCCTATTGCTGACACTCATGTCTGGAATGTGACTTCTGACAGGACTGAAGATGTCTGCATTAGGGTTTAGTTGCGGGGTCTGGAAGGGCTTCCCGTTGTCTGGGGCTGATTAGGTCCATGGCTAATATATCCTCCTTGTGTAAAAGACAGTAAATCATCATTTAATATATTTAATTCACTTTGAAATTTACTAATATTTTCCATTTGTGTGTGCTGGCTTTCTCTCAACTGTTGGAGTCTTTCTTCCTGTTTCTTTTCTTGTTCCAGTTGCCACTGCTGTAGTCTCTCTTCTTGTTTCTTTCCTTTTTCCTCCAACAACTGCTGTAATCTCGCTTCTTGTTTATTTTGCAGTTCAAGCTGCCACTGTTGCAGGTTTTCTTGCAACTGCTGGTGTCTCTCTTCTTGTTTCTTTTCTCGTTCTTCTTGTTTCTTTTGCTCTTCTTATATTGCTGCCATCAAATCTGCTAAGCTGTAATTGATTTGCCACCTCTCGTTTCCATCTTCTTCTTCTTTTTTTTTCTTTTCAGTCCCACTTTCTGGCACCAATTTGTTACGTCTCTGTTCGTTTGTTAATTTCCCGTAGAAATTCTTTCCGAGAAACTTCAGCGATACAAGTTCTTTCTTAATTAAAACTAGTTTATTCTTTCTCGATACAACTTTGCAATACACAGAATTTCCACAGTCACTTTAATTTAACTACTTTTATAAACATGCGCTATAATTCACAGTGATTCACACACTTTACTTATGGTTCCTACTGTTCGCTTGACTCAATTATCTCTATCTTCAATCTGTCTGCCTTTATATACTAAAAAAGAGGGCGTCTAGCAAATACTGGGATATTCATGAGGTTCTCCGATAAGTCACGATCCTTCTAGAAACTCCAGCGCGCATGCTTCCAGCGTCGCGTGACTTACGCTGTCATAACAGTACAAATATACTTATTTGTAAAACTCACGGTTAGTCGATCGAGTAACAAGATATACGCGATAACTAAGACTGATACAGACATTTCACTGCTACTAATATTTCAGTGAATGACTGGCACTCTAACAACTGATATACTGACTATTCAAAAGTCTCTCGATCATTACCAATATTCAACACCATTCTCGGTATTCGATGGCTACTTTTATAAACTTACTTGATTTTAGCATTGTGCGCTCTCTAGCTAGCATCTAAATTAAAACACTGGAGACATTGCTTATAATAAGATAACGGACCCTACTTCATCAAGATAGGTTATTTGCCATTTTAATTCTTAAACTTTTCGGGGAAAGATTATCTCCAACTTCCTATTCCTTTATTTCTCAATTCATTTAAGTACCAATAGTTTCTCCTTCTTGAAATTCTAAATCTCCGATGTCAACACATCTTTATGATCTATGTGTATAGAAACTGTGTGTCGGAAGTTTCTGTTATATACCCTTCCCAAAAGCAAATAAATTTTGATGCATTACACTACTTACGTATTTTATTTTGTATTGTATTTTCATGAAACCCAGGAGAATGAGGTACACACTGGACTTCTCCCTCCTTCCTTGGCTATTGTTTGATTGGTTGGATCTGTTCAATGAATCCCACAATATTGTTCAGTCCGATAGCTAGGGAAATCTATTTTAACAACATGCAGCCATATATGTGCGCCACGATTGTCTGTAGGTTGTCGCACACTCGAGTGGCCCTTTGTAGTCAAATATTTCACTTTTATCGTTCGCAATGAACGCACACTGATTGTTCTAACAAACAGTTCCATAATTACCGATAAAATATACAGTACTAATTTTATTTTCACTTATTCATTCTTACTCACATCAAATCTGACAAAGAACGGTTGCTCGAAACGTCGTTGTTTACTAAAATAACACTTTTTCTTTCTCAGACGTGTGCTTTAAAAAAATAATACTTCTTTTGTGTAGTAAGACAGGCTTCCACGTCCTGCCCACTACTATTTTACAAACTAAGGCTGCATTAAAAGAATCAGGCCCGGCATGACCAGGTGGTTAAGGCACTCGACTCGCAATCTGAGGGTCGCGGGTTCGAATCGCTCGCCCTTTCAGCCGTGGGGGCGTTATAATGTGACGGTCAATCCCACTATTCGTTGGTAAAAGAGTAGCCAAATAGTTGGCGGTGGGTGGTGATGACTAGCTGCCTTCCCTCTAGTCTTGCACTGCTAAATTAGGGACGGCTAGCGCAGATAGCCCTAGTGTAGCTTTGCGCGAAATACAAAAAACAAAAACAATTAAAAGAATCGTTGTATGATTGCAGCGCCGTTTATCGTTAGAGTACAGTAATGACTACAGTGGCTCTGGCTTAATTAAATTATGTCTTCCTGACATTCAGATACACCAAACTCAGATAAAGAACTTGTTGGCTAAGCGTCCAAAACTGCGTGGCTATGTTTACTCAATTCAGCAAATACTGATGAGTTTGCTTTATCTTTTTTAATTAATGTCGTTTATACAATACTTCACAAAAAATATCTAGACCACACCGATTATACACTGACAGATGACCTACGTTTCTCTTACTCTAACACAGATGTATTGCACGTGCTTTCGTTCTCGTGAATATCAAATGCTATTTTACACTTCTCAATTTTATCTTTTTTGTCAGTTGAGATTGGATTTTTTTCCCCCTAGCACCCATTTAGGAATCGTTCGAACAAGTGGAAGATGTAGCGTTTCAAACTTTACTTACTAACAATATACTTCATATGTTTCGAAATAACAGTTCATTTTTATGTTAGTATAATCGATACTTTGCTTAATAGGGCTAAAGTTACGGTATATGTAGAGCATAGAACTGCTGCTTCCAATTAGCTTAATCCCTTTCTCACGAAACACTTGATGTGAGTCTTCCTATAGATGTATTTTGGAAACTAAGCAACGGAGAGAAACCCGAATAACGATGTCTTCAAGTAGGATTTGAATGAGCACTATTCAGGGAGGTAGCCTAGTGAAAAAAAACATTTTCCTGTTTTTGACTGCAACATAGGTATGAGTATTTGTAAAGTTTATTTCAAAGAATGAACTTTAAAAATTGTTGATATCTATAGGTATGTATATTTGTCATTTTTTTTTTTGTCACAGGGTTAAGTTTAAAAGTTACTGATATCTATAGGAATGAATATTTGTCAAGTTTGTTTCACATGGTGAAGTTTAAAGGTTGTTGATTTCTATAGGAATGAATATTTGTCAAGTTTGTTTCACATGGTGAAGTTTAAAGGTTGTTGATTTCTATAGGAATGAATATTTGTCAAGTTTGTTTCACATGGTGAAGTTTAAAGGTTG